CACTCAAAACATCCCCCAAGCCCCTAAAAAAATGGATTTTAAATGGAGGGGATGACTTCATCCATCAGCCACACAGCTGAGCAGCCACCAGTGCCTCGAGCTGCTTCTCTTTAGGTTTTTGGTTTTTTTTTTTAAGCAACAGCACAACACCCACCACTCCTCCTGCTCCAAAAACACCCTTTTGTCTGTCTCCTCTAAAATAAAAGCAGCTATTTACAATAGCTGACACTACAACAGCAAGAACAAACCAAATCAGTGAGCCTCACTTCTGATTTTTAGGAATGTCCTGTATTTTTTTTTTCCACCATCCACAACCTTCATATTCCTCCAAAGTGACCCCAACTTAAATATATTCATTCCCAAAAAGCTCTTGGAGGCAAAGGTTTTGTCTTCTCCTACCAGCCAACACATTAGGCAGCTGGACATTAGTTGGCTGTAATTGATTAGAGTTTGTGATTTAATTTAAAAGCATTTGAAAGAAGATATTAATCTCAGAGCTCTGAAGGGGAGAGAGACGTGGTGGGGAGAAAAATAGATTTAATTCCCTGGGCAACTGTACTAAAAGGTACCATGGAATTCCCAGTAGCTTTGCCACAAAGCCCATCCAGAAGTGACAAAGAAGTGGGCTAATGTGGCAGCACCATCATAACTGCAAAAAGTGTTTTTACAGCAAAAAAAAAATCCTTTAATTCCATCAAAAAGAGCTGGATTCCTTCTTCTTGCCTCATCTGTGGGATTTGTCAGCCTCACACAGATGAACTCCTGGGCACAGGGTGGGGTTTTTGGGGTGTCCTGGACTGAATGATTCCCTCCCAGGATATCCCAGGATTTTAGGAATGTGCCCAGGCAGATACAGAGCTACAAGTGGCATAAATTCGATTTGTCTGAGCAGGGAGGGAGCTGCAGGAAAAGCATTTCCCCAGAAATTCTCCTGTCCCAAAAGCCAAGCAGAGAAGGGGAGATCCAGGGGGAGAAAAGAGGCAGCTCTGCCTCAGAATCAGGTTCCTGACACTCAGACAACTCCACAAAACCTCCAGCTGGAAGTCTCCTCTCAGAGATAAGGCTTGGTTTAAAGGTGAACCAACTGGCCCAGCTTCAAGTCAGATCTGAGACAAAAACATCCAGATTCCCCTGGGCTGGTTTGTTTATTTTGAATTCTCCAGGGCTGAGGAAGATTCCAAGCTCCCTGCCCCATTTAAAATCATCCAAAGCTGGGAATTCCTTACTTGCCTCAGCTACATTAACTCAATCTCATTAAACTCCACCAGCTAAGGGATTGTTTTCTGAGCAGGGAATCAAACATTATCCAGCTGACCATCTGGATATCTGCAGTGAGCTCTGTTAATAAACTGGGAAGAAGTTGGAAGTGATAAAAAGAGCTGAAATCCCAAATTTGTATGGATCTGTCCTCTGTTTTGACTCCCTAAGAGGACAATTCAGGGGTTTTTACCTGCACTGCAATCCAGCTGGCATTCACAGCGTGTTCTCCAAACGGCCCAAACCCTGCAAGAGAAGAAAAATTCACAGATTTGACTCAACTTGAAGTTGCAAAGAAGTTTGGGCTCTCCTGGTTTAGTTCTCCTGAAAAATAAACAAACAAACAACCACTTTCACCACTCAATCCTTATTTCTTTACACCTGAGCATCAAACAAGACACCTGCACTAAAATATTTCAACTACAGGTAAAGGAAAACATTAATTGCTTGGTTTTTTTTTTTCTTGGGGAGAAGAATTTTCCTTCCTGCCCAGGTTAGAAAAACTTGTCATTAGCAGCTAACTCTCCCGATGTCACGGAATTAGAATCATGATTGGATTTTCTATTCCTGATTGCTTCAGCCCACAGCAGATGCTTCCACAAGCCTGCCTCAAATGTTCCTTCTCCGCTCAGGGTCTTCTCCAAGATCTTCGTTAGCATTAATTACACCTCACAAGGAAATAAACAGAGCTGTTGACAACCCACCCACACCACAGCAAAGGCTACCAAGGCGTTATCAAAAATACTTCCTTCAGCACCTCTAAATTCCTAATGAATAACTTTGGAGTTAACTGGTAATCCATAACATCTTTTTTTTTTTTTTTTTTTTTTTTTCTTCTATTAAAATGCAGATCACACCGTCTGGGATTCGGGAACTCAGACACGCCTTTGTGTCCACTCAGCTCCATGAAGTCCCCGTCTGAAAGTTGCACAATGCCCACCTCGGCCAGGCTCAAAGACATGCTGTTCCTTTTTTTGTCTGGGCCTCTGGGGGCTGAGACAGGGGAAGGGGAAAGGCAAATCCTCCCCGCTGCCTCCGAGCTGATGTTTTCAGTCACAATAAATGGGAGCCGCAGCTTCCAA